CTCCAAGAGTCTCCTCCGTGAAGTCACTTCTTCCCTGTTTCTCTAACTTGGCTCTGGTCATTGGTTGCTAATTAAAAAACATACGTAATTTAATAATTAGGCTAATTCAAATGAAACATTACTAATCACTGTGTAATAATAGAATTGTTGGTTTAATAATCTATTATGTGCTTAACTTTAGTACCCTTGATCTTAACTGCATTATAAAATAAATTCACCCATGACAATTAATTATGAGTAAAAATGAGTAGGTAGTAGTAGTAGTTAGTGCAACAAGAATATAATTACATAGAACAAAAGAAAGAGTTAATAGCCTGTCTGCTTAGGAATGCGGCTAGGTCCAGATGTATTTCAGGCATAGATCACTGTCCTGTCAATGATAAGCTAAACCTTTGAGCAAGCTGACTTCGTTCACTGATGTTCACTGTTCCTATGCTTTTAGAAAACATATATATACTGGTCACAAACTCAGAGAAAATTACACTCAGATTTTCACTCTCTTGAAGTGTGTCTGTGTGTCATTTACTCGCCGAATCCCTGGCCACCCCGCGCAATCTCAATCCTAAGATGGCCTCATCGTCCATTGCTGTTCTGGTTCGCGGCAATGTGGGTTGCTCCCTGGCTGGGGATTGAACTTGTGCTGCAGAGGCTGTGGACAGCTTCATAGGTTGCGTCTCATCCCCTTGCGCCACCAGGGAGGCCCTGAAGTTATTTTTTAGAGGAGCAACGAATGATCCCTGGCAGTGTCTGAAGTTGCGCCTCTAAAACTGCTTGGCTCATCAATGTACTATTTTGTCTGTGGGTAGATCCCACAACCCAGCTGTAAGTTGCTGCAGAAGTGGCAGTAAGCTCAGTCGTCATCAACAATGGTGACTATGGATTTAGTTTCTATACTGGACTTAAGCTGCTATCCCCCAGCAATTCCATTCCGTCAGGTACTATCAAATTTGTGAATTTAATAACAACTAGAAATATTGGGGTCATCTTTATTTCCAAGCCATAGTTTGAGAAACAAGTAAGAGAGATCAGAATCAAACAAGGTCAAGCAAGTGCCTGTAAAATATACATCTCATTTGTTTCAGGATTCTAAAAATAGTTCCCAGTGCTGGCCTTCACCTTCACAATTATTTTTATCTTTTTTTTTTTTTTTTAAGATTTATTTATTTATTTATACAAGCACTGGGTACAGTCACAAGCACAGGAGGGTGAGAGAATTCACCAGAACCAAAGCAGGGAGCAGAGCAGGCAGAAGGATCGAAGTACACTGCTGAGGGGAGCAGCGGGTGGCAGGAGAGGTCTGCGCGCTATGTGGGACCCTCCTCCAGTGGCCGGGGAGCAGCCGGGGATTGAACCGGCGCTGCAGAGGCTGCGGGCAGCTTCGCAACCCAGCGCTCAACTGCTGTGCCACCAGGGAGGCCCTCATTCATTCTTAACACTGGTGGGGTCTAGTTAGATCCCACCACCATCTACTTACCGTCTACTCACCATCATATGCTCTAGAAAATATATCTGGGTCTGCTTTTCTGGGATGATTAAGATGTCTTATTGATAACATCAGATCTATTAAAAACACGGTGTCCTTCATGTGTGAGACAACAGGGTGTGGGTGACATCAGGAACCATCTCATGTTCATCCATTCACATGTACCAGGCAAGAGTCAATGCCTTCGTCTTCCAAGTGGGAGGCAAATAAATGCATAACAATGAAAATGTTACCAAAAAAAAAAAAAAAAATTAAGCCAAGAATGGAATGGGGAGATGTTGGGGGGAGCAGGGGTGATATTTTAGATCTGGTAGTTAGGGAAGGCCTCTTTAGTGGGTAGGTGGCACTTAAGTGTGGGAATAAGTCATAGGAATAACTATCTGGGGAGGAACAGCAAGGACACAGCAGGGTGATGGAGAGGCTCCACTGAGAACTAGCAATGAGGGGGTGTGTGACTGGATGCAGTAGGCTGAGGAGAGGGAGAGAGATCTAAGGGAGCTGGGGAACCAGCTCAAGGAATTCTATAGGTCATGGTTTGTGAAGCAATTGTCTAGAGGTGGCTCAGGCAAAGGGGATCTAGTGACCTGGGATGGGATCTTGGCCCTGCCTTACCATGTGCTTTTCCAAGTGCCAATTCACTATTCTTTTCATTCCCTAAACTTAGCAGGTGATGCTCTCAGATCCCAGCAGGCTGGAAACATTTCAGGATTCTGGGGAGTCTGGGTCCTGTCAAGTGGTCACTACAACTGCCAGGCCCACCCTCTTGGGTAACCTTACAATTCAGTGAGCTGCTCTGGCATCCTAAGTCTGCTGGGAGCAGAGATTCTTAACAGAAACAGACTATTCCAGCTGGACCAGTAGGTTCTGACAACCTCCCATTGTACCATCTATTATGTAGTGGTCATAATTCTTTCTGAGTCCTCACTGTAGATCATGGGCTCTCTATATATTTTCTCTAATAAGAGATTGATGCTAAGGTTTAGGAGACTGGTATTTAACCAGGTTATGTGTGTTTTGGTGGGTCCGGGCTGCTATAACAAAGTGCCACAGATTGAGTGGCTTATATCCAGAAATTTCTCACTGTTCTAGAGGCTAGAGTCCAAGGTAAGGGTGCTAGCATGGTGAAGTTCTGGTCTTCCTTCTGAGCTACAGATGGTCAGTTTCTTACTGTATCCTCATGGGGTGGAGAGCAGAGAGGAAGTTAAGCTCTCCTGTGACTCTCAAAAAGTCATTCATGAGGGCACCACCCTCATAATGTCATGTAATCTTAAGTACTTCCCCAAGGTCCCCATGTTCTGATGGTCAGTGGGCACATGTGTGTGTTGGGGGTTGGCGGATAGACACACATACAACACAAACATTTGGTGTATGATAGTTATTTGGTACTGGTGGGACTTAAATTCAGATCTAATTTGCCAGAAAGACTGTTTTGCCTACTACCCACCACATTGTCTAATCCTTCCTGCGTACTCTCATTCACTTATCAAAACATTTATTGGCCATCAGTGAATGTTTGCTATAGGCACAAACAAGACTGCTTCCATCCTCAAGTTCCTTAGAATTGAATGGCTGTCTAGAACCTGCATTATTTCTCCCAGAATGCAGTGAGAGAACACGGAGCACCCACTATACTTTCTGAAAGAGATCTTTCTTTTCATTAAAGGACCCTGCCAGCCAGCTGTCAGTCAGGATGTGCAACTGCAGTGCATGAAGAGCAACTGTTGACCTGATTGTCCACAGCTGACAATGGTATGACTGTTCACAATTGAATTTTACTTAAATTCGGATTCTGGTCACTTTAAAAAAATCTTCAGAGATTTCCCCATAAGACTAAAATGAAATCAAGGTAGAGACTGCCTCTTCGGCAGTCGAGGGCAGCGGGAACTGCTGGGTTTTGAATACTCACAGAAGTCAGCCCAGGCATCGGGCTTACACCAGTCTGGTGAAGGGCCATTCTTCAGAGGAAGCTGAGAGAAATGATTACCCAGGGAAGGCATGAAACTTGCAGTGAGATACATCTTGGGAGAATATTAACTACCAATTTAACCATATAGGTGAAAACACAATATTCATTCATGTCCCAAAATGACCTCAGTGCCTGAGAGATTACTCAATTTCAATACCCTGGTAGTTTTCTTCTGAATAGTTACCATGATTTAGATTTTTTTTTTCCCAGAGTGAGGGATCTTTTCAGCTTTACCCCCCAACAACTTGCCTAGAGCAAAACAGGCACAGGTCGGAGAATTACAAGCTGGGGTTGAGGGAACCAGGGCATTTCTGAGGAACTGTATATACCTACCCTTGGCCAAAACCAGTTGGACCTATTTTTCTTGAGGGTCTCAGAGAAGCTTACACTCTGAAGTCTGACTGTGATGCTGAAAAGTAAGTGCTATGTAGTTGTCAAAATTATTAGTTTTTAAAAACAATTATGAATATAAAATGATTTTTTCCCCTGAAAATTTTTTATTTACATATGTTATTTGGCGTTAACTTTAATTAGTGGGTAGTTTCTTTGACTCAATGGCATCAGAAAATCAAAGTAGTAGTATGCTAAGTATACACAGCTCTTTAAATATTTTCAAAGCTTTACATCATATTTTACTATTTGGGGATCTCTGAATGATGCTCCTAACAGTTCTAATCCATTCGCTGAAAACCTTCACTAGATAATGGGTACTTTTCAAATAATCTGAAATCACAGTAATATAGCTTGTAGGCAAGGTATCACCCTGGTTAGAAAGGAAATGGCCAGCAAGATGTGGGCACATGCAGCTGAAAAGGTCTGCAGAGTGAGCTCTATGGCTACCCTCTGCTTTGAAGAAGAGAGCCCATGTGAATGCTGGCACCATGCTCACCTTGGGCAGGCCACCTATGCTCTCCAGGTTGTACTGGCTACTGGGTACAGGATCCTTTGTCTTATATACTGTGTGTTTAAAGTCTCACCTTAGAGATGTGCAGACGGCAGGTTCTGTCTGATGTCTTGGGAGGGCAAGGCGCTATAAGTAAATAGGCCGAAGTCAGAGTCCTACTTTGGAAACACAGAATTTGAGATATAAGGGACCTGAACATTCCTACAACCCCCTATTCATAAATGAGAACCCAGAGAGTCATGAGGTGCTCTACCAGAATTATATACCAGTTAGATCTGTAACATAATCTTTGTTTCCACTTAGGATTTTGTGAGTCAACTAAATTTAAGATACCCAGTTCATCCTTTTTTTTTTTTTTTAGGAAAAAATAAAAATTTCAATTCTCTAACTGAAAGATAGTATAAACTGTTTCAGTCAAGGCAACTTAATGGAAATAATTTTACAACAGATTTTGTTTATTTACCTGTTTGTTCTTTCACTCTTAGATAAGTGACAAACTGTAAAGCCCTCTGTTGAGCAATAACAAAACCTTTCAAATTTAATTATTTACATCTATTTTAGGCGAGTTCAGAAAAGGTGAAGAAAGTGGATTTTTTTTCTCGTCTTTCAGAATTACCAGCATATAAAAGGTAAAATGAAAGCACAGGTAATCAAAAATGTTTTAATGATTAATGTTTAGACATTATTAACAGTGTGGGAATATCCAGATGAGCTAAAGCACACTTTGACAGCACACTATTGAATGGTATTAGTTTTTGTATTGAAATATGTAAAGACATTCGCAAACTAGTACCTAGGAAGACATACATTTTACAAATATACACATTCTAGATTTGATAAGGTAAATGTAAACAGATGCTGTGACTCCTTCCAAACCGAAAACCCACAAGACGAATAAGAGCTGTCAGCTCCCTATAAGAATGTGCAAAATTAAAGCACGATAAACTGATATTTACATAAATATCAAACCAACAATTAGTTTATACATTGTCAATGAGCTTTTAAATGTGTCATGAGTGGTTCCATGAATGTCCCCAATGGAGAAGTTCTGCAGAGGCTAAATTCCAACACTTTGAAAATGACATACCCAAAAGTCATCTGTTTAACCACTGCCTCAGGGGTGTAGGGCAAGAGTTTATAAGCCAGTCTATTTTTAAACAAGCAGTTCTAAACAAATCTTTAGATTCTAAGTAGAAAAAAAATTATAGATGCTATTAGATTTACATTAAACAAATGATCTCTATCCATTCTCCCAGTTCTCTTATGCTGTGGCTCTGGTTAATTTTACCTTAAAATGTTTTAAGGTCCACCCCCACTCTTCTTCCTGCCTTTATTAATTTTGGTAAGCTAGGCACATTCCATAAGAAAGTTTATGTCAAAACAGATAGCAGTACAGAAATCAATCCAAATTTGGACCCATTCCCCATTGCTCATCTGTGGGACTCTGTCAAATGGTAAATATTCAATTATCTCTTGAAAAGTGTATATATATCCTCTCTCATGAGTGGAAAACAAAATGGACTTTGTTTCCTGTATAAAAACACTTAGCACTTCAGAAATGAAAAATGGCCTACCCACATCCTAAATCTTGAAGACAAAAAATATATATTTTAAATTTCATCAAGACTGTTTTGGAGCCCCCCACTTTTTCTTTTTTTTTACATTATTAATAGTGGCACTCAAAATAAAAAAAATACGATCTGTTAAAAAGTTAATTGACTGTTCCACTAGATTTGAGGCTGCCTGATTTAAAGCCAATATTACAAAACAAAGGTGCCATTCTGATTTCACATCTACAAGTCACTTGAAACTGTGTCACACGCTAGTTTCATAAATGACAGTCTTTGATTTTCTATATAGAGCTATTAAAAATGAATAAAAACTTGGAACATACCCTAATTTAAACTAATAAGCTTTGGGCCCTGCTTTTTAAATTTTAAGGCATGTGTGTTTCTCTACTGTAACAACATTGTACAAATTTACAATCACATGCATGATCTACAGTTAAAAAAAAAGTTTGGATTACAGTGTTTTTAAATTGTGAATCACAATTCAGCACCTATTATGTTATAACTAATAAGGCAACAGCAGTGTCATATACTACAATAATACTCCCTCCACAGTCTAGCGCAGGGGTCGGTGAGAGCCCAGAAATATTAAAAATCTTATGCCTACTTGTATAATCTGCATACATTTTCTAGGGGTTTTGAACTGATGAAGGAGGTCCTACATGAATCACACTATTGTAGGCCAGCCTAGTTACAGCAGCTGTTAACGAGCATCGGGCACAACTCATTGTGCTTACAATCAGACGACGTGGTTTGGAGGCTTTCAACTCTAACTTCAATCCTTCCGTTGCTTCCTCAGCTTAACATTGTTTTCCAGGGTGGAAAAGCTGTTGGTGTGTCCATTCACAGCAGCCACGGACCCGTTCTGGTGTTCCTTCAGGTGCTCTTTCCTCCGGGAGGCCCCTTTCTTGTTGTAAGTCTGAAATGCATGAGGGTAGATGGGAGCATGGGAGGGAGTGCATCTCTAATCACAGACCTTTTGTGACCAGTGCTAGCAAGAAGTAACCTTTGTAGTCAAGCAACCATGAAAACTTTCACCCCACTGATTTCACTCATTTTTTGAGGCATTAGTCTCACACTTAAGTTCACTAGATCATGGGCTGCAACTCAATTGCACTTTACTCAGGTTTTCCTTTCAGCTTCTAGATAGCAGAGGCTAGGGGTTACATGGTCAAATTATTTCTTCCATTTTTATAAAGTCTCTCCTGCCACTAACATCCCTTGTTTTAAAACTTTGCTCATTACTTCAGCCCTTTCTGTAAGTGTGATTTCAGCTTTGTTGGGTCCTATTCCTTTAACTTCCCTCCTACTTGGTAAGTGTATGAAGTGTGGCATAAACCACCAGCCCAGGAGTATGAGAACTCAGTTACACACGCCCCATCATGGTGTAAGGAAAAGTAAAAGGCAGGGTGGGGCGGGGAATGTGGCTGAGGCCTCAGATGACTCCTTAGGGCAACTGGACTTTGACTCCTCATCCTTGGCCTCTGCCCCGAACCAGACACACATATCATCCAGATTGATTTGAGGCAGGAGAACTCACAGTGGAAGAAAAGTGATCAGACACCCCCAGAGTTATTTAGCCCTAAATGGACTCAACATTCTAGTACACTTTTGGGGATGAAGTGAGCCCTCAAACTTGAACGGTGGCTATGTAAGAAAAGTGGGACAGAATGACATTTTTCTAGCTCTATGTGAGGACTGTACTAGGAATTTTTCCAGACATTTAAGTTAAACTCAGAGGGGTTATGAGACTTTTGAAAATTGCCTGCCACAGACCATGAAGGCAGGAATTCTGGTGCCTTGCTGAACAGTGTTGATTTTACCATCTAAATCCAAGGCCTCCATTGCCTAGATCTAGAACTAGATGGACAATCCTGGAGGTGTGGAATGGATTTTATCTTCTACATTAGCAGTAACTCTCCCATCCCGAAGGCAGGGTCTGCCCTGTCAGTGTGGCTAAATTATAGTTCAGTGCCTGGCACACAACAGGGACTCCACACAATCCCCTTAAATGAATAGACAGGGGCTTTTTGCTGAAAAGGCTTTAAAACCCAAATGCAAAGAATTACCTGAATGTAGAAGTTTGTGAAGAGAGTAATCAGAGAAATCATGTATCCAATCTGGAAATATAACCAACCGAGAGGGAATGGACACCGCCAGATGACCCCGCAGGTGGTCTGGATGATTGTCAGCACAAACTGAAGCTGGTGGAAGAGAGTGCACAGCTGAGCAGCACAGTGACAACCGAGGGACAAGGAGACAGGTGGGCTCCTTATCCAGCATGCCCAGTTTGTGATTAACACTTACTAGCCTTTCTGTAGGCACCATAAACACAAAGCATACTTAATTTATCCTAAACTATGTTTTTGTCTTGAAAATTGTCTCCTCCTCCCCTTCCCTTAAGCTACTTAAACCACCCTCTGTAAAATTCAGGGAATAGTTAATACTGTGTATTCCAAAGTTACTAAGAGTACATCTTAAAAGTTCCACTACAAGAAAAAAGGATTGTTAACTATGTGAGGTGATCATTTCACAATATATACATATACCAAACCATTGTTGTGCACCTTAAACTTTACAATGTTATATGTCCATTATATCTCAAAGCTAGGGGGACATGTTAAAAACCATGAAAAACTTCAGGGACACAGTATATGGAGATGCAATAGAACTTGGGATAGTTCTTTTTCAGGAAGGAAGGGTGTGGGTGTACATTCAAAGGACGCCAATGATGTCACTACGGGATGTGCACTTGGAAAGTCCCACTGGACACTTTCCTGTTCCCTGTGTACCCTTTTGGCTTGGTGAAGGCTGATAAGTAGATTCAAACTCATTGGAATATAATTCTAAATCCATAAATTATTTCTGATGAGTAAATCTTGAAAAGCAGGTAGAACTGCTTGGAGAGATCCAGGGACAATGTTAAAATAAGGTGTGGCTATCAGGAATAATAGGGCAGGGTTCCGCCCACAGGATTCTGGTCCAGTTCCCAGTGTTTCCATATAGAGAACTGGTTTGGTGCTATTATTTTTTTCTTCCTCCCCAGCCTCCTGTAAGGTAAGTATTCTAGGTTGAGAATTAACTAGAAAATCTGGGCAAACTGGGTGCCATTTCTACCTCAAGGGAGACCAACTCTCCCAGTGCTCTTTTCAGTTCTGCAGCCACAGAGCCATGTAGTGTAGAGTAAACCAGTATCTGCCTCACTTCCCCTCAAGCTAAACAAGGCTAAAGAACAATCATCCTTCCTCACAGGTGGGTGAGAAAAAATTAACAAGGACCATGTAACAGCTGGCAAAGGGATGATAATGAAAGGTCAAACATGTAGCTTGGGTAGTCTCAGATTGTTTTTCCCAGATGGCTATTTTTAAATATTGAAAAACCAACAATTGACTTGGAGGGATCTAAATCAACTTGGCTTCTTAAGGGGGAAAAAAAATATTAAGGTAAAGCCAGGGCTAAGGGCTTGAAGGGTTTGGACATTAGTCAGCTAGCTTTGGCCTATTGCCCCTCAGGGTCCTCAATCTATATAAAGGGGACAATAATGAAATGAAGCTACTAGAAAAATACATGCAAAGCTGCTTACTTAGCATGAGCGCCTAATACGTAGTAGACTAAAAAAAAATTACGTCATGAAGAAATTCGCAAGGGGAGAACAAGGGTCTATACTATACAAACAAAAGCTCAAGGAGAGATGATTAGAAATAACCGCACCAAGAGCAGTTTCTGGGTGGCCTGGACTGGTGAACCTTGGGAAGGGGGCTGTCACCTGAAGCAGGTGCTCTACTACCCAGTGTCTGAGAGGTCACAGGGCATCTGCTTCAGCAAATATCCTCACTTCCTAGTAAGCCCCAAGCATCCTGGTTAATCACTTTCCACCTTAGATTTTGGATTATAATTAGAAAACTTGTATTTATATCCATATGTACTCTGGCCTGTGCACATTGTGCATAAACTATGGACAAAGAAGACAATTTGAAGTCAGGAAATTAGATTCCAGCACTCATTCTAGAATTCAGTATGCCCATGGGCACTGTTCCTCCAGCAATTAATATTAAGAAAATTCCCTGCTCTGCCTACTTTGAGTTTAATTAGCACCAAATGATAAAGGGTGGAAACGGCACATCTTAGATGCCATGGAACAACAATAACGCCAGGGAGGCAGCAAGTCCTAAGGAAAGAGGCCAACACTCACCAGCTGCCCCTGAGTGATGTACTTCTTCCACCAGAGGTAGGGACGCATGGAAGGGACAGATGAGAGGGCGTAGTATGAGTACATGAGGACGTGGATGAAGCTGTTCAGTGTGGCACCAAAATAAGCTGCAGGAACAAAGATTTGGAGAAGACGATATATCAATGTTTTATACATAATGGATTAAAAACAATTTTAAGATTCTTTTTGAATCCAAAAAAAAGATGCTTTCGAACAAGGGCTGTCACAGTGTAGCAGTAAGTACTGCACGGGTATGTAACCAGAATTCAGTTTCCACGTGGGCAGGCAGAGTGCTACAAGGCCAAGACCAGCTGTAGCTGCCAGGTAGACATCTAACACAGGACCCCGCTCTGGCACCTGGAGGCTTCGTTGCCAGACTTGCAGAGATGGCTACTTTTCCTTACAAGCCTTGAAGACTTGGGGAAGATAGCCAGTGGGCAAGATGTTCAAAGTTGGTGTCTACACATCTGCTGAGGTTTAGAGGCCTTTGAAATTACCTCCTAATTTTTCACCAGGATTGCAGGGCTAAGGTGATGTTTTTATTAAAATGGAGTCTACAGTCCAGTTTCTTATTCACTTTTTATCACATTACTTTTAGTTTCTAGTAGGACCACCAGTTCTTTTTAGTCTCTGCCCTCTCCTACAGCAAGCAGCCAAACAAAAGTATCTCTCAGGCTTTTCCACATGTGGACGCTAAGCTGGTATCAGGGAATGAGCTGCTGCTTGTGGCTCTCAGTAGAGCACAGTCATACTTTATGAGTCTGGACAAGTCATGTCCACTGTCTCTCATGGGCAGGTAGGACTAGTAAATATCTGCCATCCTGCAAGTTCTGTGAAATCTTCAAATGGAACAAGGCAGTTTCTATTAGAGATTTAAGTTAGTTAATTCATAGCAATGAGGTGTGATGTAGGGAAAAGACATGCTAGCGAGGGGCCTTCTACTGTCTGTTATCTTCTAAACTCAAAGCAGCTGAATTTGGAAAGTCCTTTCTAGTCCTAAAATTCTAAGACTGTACATCTCTATCGAGAGCAGTGCTAGCCTAGGAAAAAATATGTACATAAATAAAACCAAAGGTCATGGTGGATGACAGGAATTTTGATTGGGACAGTTGTAACAATTCCCACCCTGAACCTGAAATCTTAATCTCTGAAAATTGTAACAGACTTCAGAGCACAAGCTTTCCAAAAGCCATGCCCATCTTCCTAGAGAATTTACTTCAAAATTTGGTGTTTGCTATAGAAGATGGCCTGCTGACCATGCTTGATGGATCATAAGAGTCATATCAGAAAATGTACAGACTTCCCTAGTGTGCTGCTGTGTTTCATAATTTTGTTCTCTGGCACTTGTGCAATCAGTCCCTCTTCCTGGCCTGCCCTCGTTAGTCAAATATCTTCCGAATTGTAGAGACTTAAGGCTAGAAATGACTTCTATGCTCCTCTGTATGGCAGAACACTGTTCCATTTCTTTCTTCATATGCCCCAGGCTTGGGAACATGCTATTTTCCTCACTTGCCAAATCAGGACAGGATGTTCACTAAACTAGAAAAGGTTTTGTCAGCTTACAGGGTACATGGGCTAGACAAACTACAGCTGAAGCAAGTTGAGTACAAAGTTCAAATGCCTAACCTAGAAATCTATAGAAATAGCACCTTCTCTAAAAGTCTTTCCATTCAGCCTCACTGCTTGAACCTGTTCACAAAGCCCCTTCCCACATTAGACTTACAGTGGCCGCAAGGGACCCAGTTCATCACAAACCACCAGATGTTCAGCATGCTGGCGTGGTGGTAGACGTGCAATACCGTGATCTGGTGGTTGTTCTTGCGCAAGATGAAGAAGAAAGTGTCCATGAATTCTATGAGTTTGGAGAAGTAGTACCACCAGAGGACATGGATAATCTAAGGGGAAAGGAACATTGGTGTCTCTTTGAATATCACCCTGGCATGTTTTAACAGAATCCCATGTAAAGTAAGAGAAGCCCAAGTGCTCTGAACATCCTAAAATTCTTCAGGTAGAAGCTCTGGTCCCTCTACAAGTACCCTTAACCAGATTATGTGACCATGAATTGGAGAGAGGTTTCAAATGACAACAGGTAAAGTTTTAAAAGAGCCTATGAACCCATCAAAACTAACAAAAGACAAGAGATTCAAAGTCCAAACCCTGAAGCCTGCCTCTTCCTTCTGGAAGCACCTGCAGTGCCACTAGCACAGAAAAAGTTATTGAAAAGCACGTTTGATTTCAGGGGCTGGAATGGGGCAGGTGACAGGATATCAGGCAAAGAAGAAAAGGAATCAACTTCTAGTACCAGGTCACTGCCCAATTAAATGCTAAAGAGGTGCTGATGCTGAGCTGAGCCCCACAGTCTTACTAAAAAAAGAAAAAACTCAAGAGGGGAAGTCAGAATCTAAAGATCATGACTCAGAGGTCACTCAGAAAATAAAGCATTTAAGACATTATGACCCAGTTTACATAAATATAGCAATTCAATCTCCTTGGACCTCAGTTCCCTCACTCCTTAAATAGGGTAAAAATAATAATGTTGACACTAATAACTACAATTTTTCTCCTGAAAATTATTAGCAGGACTTTTTTTTTTTTTTAAAGATTTATTTATTTATTTATACAAGCACTGGGTATAGTCAGAAGCGCGGGAGGGTGAGAGAATTCACCAGAGCCAGAGCAGGGAGCAGAACAGGCAGAAAGACTGAAGTACACTGCGGAGGGGAACAGCAGATGCTGCAGGAGAGGTATGTGCGTCATGTGGGACCCTTGCTGGTGGCCAGGGATCGAACCGGCGCCGCAGAGGCTGCAGGCAGCCTCGTAGCCCAGTGCTCAGCTGCTGTGCCACCAGGGATGCCCCAGCAGGACTGACTTTTGCAGTGAGAAATTTTAGTTCCTATTTTATGCCTTTTGTGTTAATCAAACTTTCACACCAGATGTATACACTGACTTTTATAAACATCAACGGGGACCTCCCTGGTGGCTCAAGGGGTTAAGCACAGCACAATGAGGCAATCCTCAGCCTCTGCAGTGCGAGTTCGATCCCTGGCCAGCCAGGGAGCTACCCACATGGCACAGCAGACCTCTCTTGTCTCTCCCGCTGCTCCCCTCAGCAATGTATTTCACCCAGTCTGTCTGTTCTGTTCCCCACTCTGTCTCTAGTGACTCCTCTCACCTCCCTGCATCTCTGGCCTGTACCCAAGCTCTTGTATGCATAATGAATAAATCTTTAAAAAAAATAACATCAACAAGCATTATCTGGACAGTAAGGTTATAGGCCATTTTCTTTTGTATGATGTAATAAAAAGTAATATGAGACAGTACCTTCATGTCAGCTTCTCCAGCGCTGCGTGTATCCTGACAAAAGAAGTTGTATTTGCCTTCCCATACTCCTGTCACTAACTTAAAAAAAAAAGAAAAAAGCCAATCACCAACAATATCAGAACCACATTAAAGCCCTATTCAATGCAACCTCATTAGTTTCAGAATTTGTGAAAACTGAGCTTGTGCTATATATTGCAAGTCTGCCAAAGTAGAAAACCATGATAAGGGAGTGTGAACAAAGGCAAAGTTTAAACGGCTTGACCTCAATTCCATAAGGGGTGGACCCACGCTGTCATATTCACAGGCCCTACTTTACCAAGTTGCTCCTCTCTAAAACCTTCCCTTGGTACTATCACAAGTACCCTGACAGATGCAATCACAGGCTCCCCATCTACCTCCCACCTCAGGGAAGATCATTATCTCACAGTTAGATTTTCTCTCAGCTACTGCTTCTCAAATTTGAGTGTGCAGATCAGAATCACCTCAAGGGCACATTAAAGCAGGAATCTATGGGATAATTCTGACCCTGTGGATCTGGGGTGGGCTCAGAGAATTCTGAGTCTGAATGAGTTCCCAGGTAATAATGAGACTCCTAGTGTGTGAAAGGTCCATGCAGGAGGCCTGAATGCAGGAGCCAACCAGGAAGCCCACCTGGGGGGGCAGAAATGCGGATACCTGCCTGGAGGACTCAGACAATGAGCCTCCCCCCTCCCCCTAGGAGTCTCATCTCAGACAAAGAACCTGCCCTACAAACTTTTCCCACCGTATGAGCCCAACTACCCACCTGACCTCTCCTCGCCCTATAAAACCCTGCTTCCCCCTAACAATATGCGCGGCTTCACTGACCCCCGCCTTGAGAAATTTAGCCTGGCTCTCCTTTTCTTTACCGCGCGGAATCTTTCAGTGTGGAGACCACACTTTAAGAACCACGGCTGCAGACCTAGGGACAATGTAGTCAAACCTCATCTTCATTTCTTGTTGCTGTTTCATTCCTCTGCAGACCAAGGAAATGCCCACACCTCGGAATTCACCTGCAGCAGAGTGGCCACTGTAATGTCACAGAAGGGACCCCAGAATTGGAATGTAAGCTCAGACGTACAGTATCCCCAGTTCAGACCTACAGAATCAGATTTTTGAGTGTGAAGCCCAGCCCTCTAACAGGCCGTTCTATAGGTGAGCTGCTGCACCGACAGTTTGAAAACCACTAACTTAAAGCCATGGTTCCCATTCTAGCTGGGAACCTACCATCACTGTGTTCCTGCTACTATTCTGGCTTGTGGTATCCTGAGACACCCTGGTTTGGCTGCTCTATTTTTAGGACAAGAACGGCTCGCATGTTAGTGCCTGTGGAGATGCCGGTGATTACCTTCATGACTGTCATGGTGGGGGTGGGTAACGGCAAGGGAACTAACTTCCTGGGGAAGAGGACATACTCTTCCCTCTACTCCTGTAGGTGCCTCAATCTCAAAGGTAAGCACAGATTGAGGGGGTCTTAAATCTAGTAAAAGGGACTCTAAGACATAAGTCTTTCTTTTAGAACTTTTTTCAGAAGGAATCCAAGAGAGTGCTTCAATTCTTTAAGCTAATTAACCTAAATTTTCCATTTGCCTCTTCTCCCAGAAATGGGGGGGAAAAAAGAAGAAAAATCCCTGCATGAAATACCCTCTATCCTTGGAGGCTAAATAGCTCCAACTTAGGCTTGGGTGAACTTTCCCAGTGCTGAAGTATAAAGCAAGCACACACACCACAGGCTGTCACTCAGTGCCACTTCCCCGTAGCTACACGCCCTCTATCACTGCTGCCTCTCACCACTCCCCTGGGCCCTTGTGCCTCTCCCACTGCTGAATTCTCTTGAAAACCCTCAATGACTCATTACTGCCTTCAGACTGAAGCCCTAATCCTAGGCACGGTGTTCTGGTAGACACACACTTCTGCAACTGTCTTGGTCTCCTCCCATGTCTGTCAGAAGGCAGCCCTTTCCCTTGTCCAGTAGACTTTCCTTAACCTCTACCCAGAGACCAAGGGTAAAGAATGTAGGTTTGGGCACTCGCCACAACCACTTTCAATCCTAGCTCCCCACATTAAGCTAGGTTACTCTGAATAAGGCATTTCAGTCTCCTTAGGCCTGTTTCTTCACTCCTTAAATGGGTAAAAACAATACTCCCACCTCTAGAAGTTGCCCGAAGGCACGAATGAGAGGACATGCATAAATGTTTTCTTTCCTACCTGGTACACTGGATGAGCACTGGGTTAGCAATGATCATTGTTATTCTTTTCAACTGAAATACTTTCTGTACCCATGAACCCCTATTTCCAGCTCTTAAAATCCTATCTACCCTTCAAAGTTTGGTTAAAATTCTATCTTTTTTGTGAGTACAACCATCAGCCTCCAGCCTAAAGTTTATTCCGCTTCCTCTAAGCTCACCCTGCCGTGGTTTGTAGTTATTTGCTCACATACTTCTTTAAGCCTTTTGTTCATGGGTCTGTTTTAAGCTCCTCTGTAAGGTCTCTGGCTGGCTCCCGCATCCACAGAATACAGCACAACGACTTGTACACAAGAGGTGCTGAGTAAATATTTGCTAAACTAATGACAAAGTTCAAGGTACTGCTTTTTATCCCCCAAATCTAGGCCTAATGTTTTATTTGTAGCAAAGAAAAAGAAAAAAAAAAAAGCTTTAGTTCATTTCTGCTTTGCAAATAGAGAAAGTGAAAAGCAAGAATATTTTAATGAATGAATATATTTTAATGAATGCCTCTGAATGCATCTCAATTCTGTTCACATGAGGCAAACCACTCCTCATCAAATGTCAACTGGGATATGGAAAGTTCAGTTCTCAAATATCCTAGGCTATATAGAAGGGTTGGAATATTTTACCCATGAGAAACATGCCACCTGAGTTAAAGTTCATTCATCTAAGATTCTCAGCACGTCCTCCAAAATGGGCCAGTATAGGGTTTTATTTTCTCCATCCTCCATCAGTAGAAAACAGTAACAGACCCCAGAGGCTCTCAAAATGAAGGCCAGCCTTTCCTCCGGCCCTGTTAGGAGGACATCTGAAGAGACAAGACGAGTCAAAGTCACCTTGGCCACCACTTCCCTTCAGGGCTCAAGCCTGGCCTCTTTCCAAAATGCTGCTTTGGTCAGCTCCCTGGAAATTCATCACGCCAGGAGGCTTAACAGTCTCTACCTTGGACAGGTCTCTATCTTGGGCTTCTAAGAATCAGCTCAAAAGACTACCTCAGTGAAAAGGCAGGCCACAACAAACAGCTTGCCACTACCTGTGCAGTTCCCAGTGCCACTGGCTACTCCAAGAGCAAGCGAGGGAGAATTATTTACCCTTCCAGACTCCATGGCTTTTTCCACGTAACCAAGATACAAACAGCACCACTGCTAACCATATGTGCTTTCTCCTTCCTTGGAGTAAAGCAAACTTTAATTAGGCCAGCAGCATGTGAAGAGCTATAATTAAAGCTTACCTAGAAGCTTTCGTTTCTCCCTATGAGACAAATTCAATAACCACTGGTGGTTTATGTATCTTCTCATTCAAAGAAGAAAATTTAGGCAAGAATCCCAGATAGGTCTGGATGAAGCAGTTTGTGGAATGAACCATTTCTAATAGTGAGAGATGACTTTTCTCATCTAATACCACATTTAACCATAAATGAGATATAACCTTCAGCAGGATAACCATTTCCATGGTACTTTCTGGAATGCTACCAAGGCATCTCAAGAAAGAAAGTCATCTGAAACCTTTAAAGTATAAGCACAAAAATATCATCCAATGTGGCCTTCATCAGCCATCTACCCTAGGACCCCAAGATAATCAGAGCAACAAGACACCCATTACCGAAAGAAGCTGTCTGATTTTAGCGATAAGGGCTTGCATGAGCTGACTGGTTATTGACCCCTATGCAGAAATGGAGTAAAAGGTAATAAAAAAGACTATCCATAATGAAATTCAACTATCACAGGAACTAAGGGACATTTCAAAGCAACACTACACCAAGAATGTGGCAGGCTGATATTTTCACAGCTTTGTTTCTATGTGAATCCCCAAGTATGTTACTTTTGAGACCTGGTACAAGCTCAACGTGTTAGTAAGGAAACAGAAAGGCGAACTGACGTGGGTGGCCCATAGTCACAAAGCTTGCTTGGTGATAGACAGACTAGCACCCAGGAGCCCTGGCTCTTGGGCCAAATGCAATCTCAAATAGCAGCTCCAATCTCCTTGACCTCCTTTGTCTGTTTTTGAATCCTTGGACCACAATGGGGATACTCTATGAAGAAAAGTAGTAAAGTAGATCATTAGCTGCATCTTTACATTCAGCAGTGTCTGATTTAAAATTAACCATCAGCTACTCCAAAGCGAAAATTACCTATTTCCTTGAGTGTATAGCTGGTCAATCCTGGCAATGTCATTGTAAGATAAAGTCATGTGATTTTGAATGTCAAATCTTTCATGTCCAGAGCATAACAATATCCATTAAGAAAAATTCACATCCGTGACCACAAATGTTTTTTTTCTCCTTATGACTAGGAGCACCCTTGGGTTACAGCTGAATGGCATACTCTTGATTAAATCATGAGGACAGGCTCTGTACAGTAGAGAAGTCTTTAGAACAAAGCACAAAGAAACAGCTTCTCCTCAGCCAACCTGACACAGGTATGGCTGGCACTTTACCCTGAGCCCTGTTAGGCTAGCAGTCCTTTTCTCTTGCTATTCACTCCTGAGAGGTGGTTCTTACTAAGTTGCCTCTACTTACCCAAGAAAAAATATGCATTTTATATTTTATGGGGGCTTTACTGGCTAGGGGGAAAATCTCAAGTCAAGATTTAGCATTTTTAGAGACAATAACAAAAACAAAGAGAAACCCCACCAACTGGGAGAACATTTTTGCACACAACACTAATGATAAAGGACTGATCACAAAAATCTGCAAAGAGCTGATGAGACTCAACAACAGCAAAGAAAATAATCCCGTCAAAAAATGGGCAGAAGAGCTAAAAAGAAACTTCTCTGAAGAGGAAATGCAAATGGCCAACAGGCATATAAAAAAAAATGTTCAACATCACTTGT